TTGAGGAGGTTATGCTGTTATACTCCGAGGATCGGCTGTGAAGACCATTCTTTCCGACGTGCTTTTGGAGTTCGGGGTCGTTTCTGCAACTTGGGTTGGCCGTTCATGTAGGAACCTGATTAAGAACCTTGGTTCCTTATATTAGAATAATATTATTTGGCGGGTATAGTCCCAGGGTTTCTTAATCAGGTTCCTACAGTAGACCAGGGAAAGTTGAGTTGGAGTGCTTTGAGCTTTGCTGGAGAGTTTGGAAGTTAGGCAGCTTACATCTTGAAGATCATCCCCACACCCAGCTCCCACCCCGCCTAAGGCCATAAGCCTCACCCCCACCCCCCACCCCAACAAAGAAGCCATAAACGAAACACACTCAAACCCTAAACCCCAACCATACCCTCAACCCTCAATCCTCAACCCAACCTGCCTAATGAGGCTGGTGGGAGTGCAAGCAGTCACCAAAACGGCCTTCAACAACAAAAAAATCAACCCAAACGGTTGAACCCACAATTGTTGATCCAAACATGAATTTTTAGTTTTTTAGTTAAGGGTGGAGGGTTTCTTAGTAGGTACTGGGTAGGGAAGGTAATTACCTAGCAGGTAGTAAGGAAGTAAGCACCTAGTAGGTAATAGCTTGGAGTTGGGGGTTTTCTGGGTTTGGGATTTCGGACTTGGGATCCTTAAGACTCGCAGCGTGCACCCTAGCCCGACATCTCTGTCTGCCGTAGGCTATGCGAAGGCAGAAAAGGGGCCTCTCCAGCTGATCCCATTTATTCTTGCTCTTATAGCTGCCTCAGAGCAACCAGCTCGTGGTTCGTTGGGCTCTTTATGAACGTGCATGTTGCACTGCCTGAGGGCCTGGCATCAGTATGATCTGTACCTCGCTTTGTGGTGGTTGCTTCGGATAGTTCCGCTAGTTGTCTTCCTCCCCCACGCTGTGCGGCGGCATCATCATGCCATGCAATAGTGCCCGGTTGCCGTTAGTTTAGCATCTTCTTCGCGTTGTTCATCTTCACAGCCGCCAATAAATCATGCAGCCACCAGCATCTACATCTGCATCGTCACTGCTGCCTTCACACATTCACCATTCTCGTCAGGGCTACCGTCATGCTGGTGGTTTCAAGCCATGCCGGCTCTGATTATGCTATTGCTTTGAGGCATTGACAAATTGAGCCTTCGTCCCGCGGTTGGGCCCCCTGAGGCACGACACTTCCAGTGTTAAAGCAGGGAATCCGAGCGATGGCTGGAGAAAACCTTGCTCGCTGCTTCCATAGCTCCTGTAAGCCCTCGGCCTCAAGCCCGGAACCCGAGTTGTGAGTACTGAACACCTTAGACAGTGAACCCCGAAACTTTGTACCAACACACCTAGATAAAAAAAATCAGCAATCCTCGAATTAAACCTTTAACACGCTGAGGACCCCACTTCTACAGTTGCAGACCTTGTGATTCATGATTTTGCCGGACCGTTGAGGGCCCTGTGCAGGTGGTTCAGGGTTTTGGAATACAATATCATCATAGGACTAGGGCCAGGGTTTTAGTATAGTTTAGTGTCGAGAAGATTAGTAGTTTTTCAATCCGAAAGCGACTTTGGAGCATATGGCCCTTACAGTAAGGTTTAGGCATGTTTGAGCGCAAGTGTTTGCGTTTTCTATCTTTAGATGTCGCCACTGCTGCAAGTAGGTTTAGGGTTCGAATTGGGGGTTTCTTGCCATTCATTGCTCAGAGATGCTACCTAGCGCAGCCACTGGTATTTGCGAATAGAGTATGCGCTGAGAAAGACCTTGACTTGAACAAGGCTCTACTGCTGTACATGCAACTCGACGCAGACTCTTTGTTGCATCAATCATAGACACAAATTTGGTAACCTGAAGCAAGCTCCAAACCCTGCAGCCCAACACCCCGGCCGGCGACACAAGTGCACACCCGAAGCTCCAGCCCCTAATGGCCCTAATATGGGGGCCCTAGTAATTACCCATACTATTTTGCATTTTGCTTATTAGGGTTATAGTATCATATAAAACACCCCTATATTATATCCCGACGTAGGGGAAATGAACGTGAAGAATAGGGCGTTGGGGTAGAAGACTATGCCTACGAAAGCTATACACAGGAACTCTCAGGAGCAGAGTAGACTGGTCTACTTAGAGGGACATGGGACTTAGTAACTAGGGTTATAATTAGGGTAACTACACTTTTTATTACTTATAGCCCCAGTTAGGGTACTTACAACCCTACTTACTAAGTCCCATGATCCTCCAAGTAATTTAGTTACCAAGGCCCTTCCCAGCCGCCAACACAACAGAATCTGTGCGATCAAATGCTCAGATGCCACTGTCTGATACGATTTTGGGCCTGAGGTAAACGGCTTGAAATAATCAGTGCGATCGGCGGAATCATGTAGGTGTCATGCGTGTTCATGGTAGCAAAATCCGTTGGCTCTATCCCCAGCCATCTTCCTGTATGTGCTACAAATCAGGATCGTTTTGAAGCGTTTGGAGGCTTATGTTGAAAGAGTCCGAATCATGAGCCCCGCGAACTCGAACACCATGCGGAGCTTGAATAGTGCGTACGCAGATTTCCTCCAATTCCCAGTAGATAAGCTGCAAACAAACAATCCCAAAACAACCTCACTGGAACTCTAAACCCCAACCTTCCCCAAACCCTAAACCAAAACTTCCCTAAATCTGAACTTCCATATACCCGAAATCCCAACTTCCTCTAACGCCTAAACCCCAATTTCTCTGAACCCTAACCCTCAGCTTCCCTAGCCCTAGCTTCCCTAAAGCCGAAACCAATCTTCTTGGTACATCCAATCATTTCTCGAGTCCCGCAACATGGCTGACCATGGCGGCGTCGGACGAAGACTCGGAGGACATGCGTTTTGGGGTTCAGGGGTACTTAAAGGGTCATTTAAGGGTCCCTTTAAAGGGATCTATAGGGGTTTCCCTTAAAGGGATCTATAGGGTTTAGGGTTTAGGGTCTACTTAGAGGGACATGGGACTTAGTAACTAGGGTTATAATTAGGGTAACTATACTTACAAGTACTTATAACCCCAATTAGGGTACTTATAACCCTACTTACTAAGTCCCATGATCCTCCAAGTAGGCGTAGGCGCTGGCCGGCACCTCAGTCCGTGCTGAAAAGGGTAGTAGGCATGGGTAGGCTTCAGGGTTCGGGGATCAGGGTTTTTGGTAGGGCTTTGGGCTCAGGGTTTGGGGTCTAGGGTAGGGTTCAGGGTTTAGGGTTTAGTCTGATTACAGGGTTCGCTATGGGTGGGTAAAAGGGCTTTGTAGAGGTGACCATACAGCTACTATCAGGATTCTAGCGTAGACGTTGTGGGGTGGCGTACATTTTATTGTCATGCAAAGACTATAAGAGAGCATCATGACCAATCATGCAGGCCCATCAGGTTTCGTACAGCATCTGTTAGCTTGGTATGCGAAATAGTCTATGGTTTGGGGCTGAGATCACTCTTAACCCTAAACCTTAAACCCTAAACCCCTAAACCCTAGGCCCTAAACCCTTGGCATAGATTTCAACTTGCCGCATTCATGTACAGCAGCTTGTGGGAAAACCTTTGGACCGAACCCTATGCATGGAGTGAGAGCTAATTTTGAATCAGAGGGCAATGTCCCAACAAGGTGGCTGATGATGCGCAGACAGGGTTTATGGTGTTGTGGGTACTAGTGTATATAGAGTGTCGGCACAATGCAGCCCAGAGCATAGAGGAGATACTGTGGACCATGTGGAGCCCTGCCTGCTGTGGTCGAGTGTGAGCGTCGAAATTCTTAAACCCTAAACCCCAACCCGATGCCCCCAGGTTCCAAACCCAGCTGTGCCCAGCAATCCTTTCTTTCGGGAGCTTGGCATAGCGAAATTCCAATCGTAGCGGTTGTAGCGCATACATCAAATTATCAGACACGTACTACGTTGCATTCTTGTGCCCAGTATATGTCTCAAGAAAGCCACCGGTGTGCTTCGAACTGTCCCCTGTCGTGGCACGTAGCGGCGGAGCCAGCGCTAGCCTCGATCCACCATTGTTGTTGAATAGTGTAGGAAGATGATTAAGAAACCTTGGGTCTTTAGTAGGGTTCCTTATATGAGTCCTACTATTTTGGGGGTTATAAGTTACAGGCCCAGGGTTTCTTAATCAGGTTCCTACATCAGCTGCGAAGCGTGTCCTTGACAGGAGGCTGTTCTCGATGCGTACGTGTGGCCGGCCCGGAGACATCATGTAGCTTCGGGGTTCGGGATCCATTCCTCAGCCTCTGCCAAGTTCTCACTTTTTTTGAATGCCTGCAACTCAAGATAGAGGGGCTCTATCTTGTTGCAAACTCTTGTTTGTTTTTCGTCCCTCTCTGTACAGCGGTTTATCATGATTGCTTGTTCTTCAGGATGGAAAGATATGTATAAGATCTTTTTGGGGGCGTTGGGTACTTGGATGCGAGTCCGCTGATGACAGGCTGGAGCCTGTAGTTAAGGTGTTTCACGACCCTCATCTGGGGGCCGACAACCATCACCACCATCATCATGATCGTCTTGGCAGCGACTGTACATAGACTTCACGGGTTTCGGTGCATTCATCTGCAAGACCCGCAGCAGCAGCGCGATAGTCACAGTTCGACCCTATCGTCTAGCTACTGAGACGCCGCCGGGAACGACGACCTGCAATTGACCACGCTTACTGCTGAATCTGTTTCTGATGTTGCTGCAAGTAGTAATGAGTTACTAGTAGAATTACGGTGCCACAAACACGAACTCGCACCACGTTGCTGTTCTCCTGGGGTCGCCCAGATTTCTGCGCCGAAAGCTTCAAGACTTGATCCTTTGTGCCTTGTGCAAACTCTATGCGTCCTCATTTCTCGTGCTTGGATCAAAACATGGTGGGCCCCGTGCAAGTGACCCTACTGGTAGCTGAGGGTTGCAGCATTTCCGTCACTTGTAGTTGGGGCGCCAAGTGCTACGGTAGCCGAAGTCACGTGCGGTCCACCATTGCCGCGAAGCTATGAGTGCTGCGAGGATGTGGCTTATGCTGATCGCTGCTCTGCCGGCACAGGCGAAGAATGTACTGGTGACGGGAGGTGTGCTAAGAAGTCACCATCTGGCAGTTGTGCCTGTTGTGGAGGGCTTGCTGGAGCGTGGTCACAACGTGACATTTATCCTTCCAAACACCATCGAAGCCCAGGCTTGGTTCCCGAAAGGCATTGGTGCAGCAAACTTGGTCTTTTTGGGAGACGAATCCGCGTCCGTGGCCAGCGTCAAGTTCCCAGATATGAAAAACCTCGGCTGGTATGAGCGCATCCGTGTGTTCGGCCGCATGATCTGGAAAGGAAGGTCCCTGCTGGAGGGGCCACTGCTTGCTCTGGTGGATGACCTCCTCCGATTTCTGGAGCAGAACAAGTTCGATGTTGCCTTCTCTTCGGCCATGTCGATCGGCTGCAATGCCGCCTTGAAGAGTTCCTCTCTGCCTTGGGTTGGCTTTGTCAGCCTTCCTCCGATGCCACAGATGGTGATCAGCGACACAGAGGAGGTGTGCAAGTATCCCAACATGATCAATCCCAGGCCTGTGCCTGAGCTGCAGTCTTCCCTCCTGAAGCGGGTGCAGAACCGTGTGGAGTGCATGGTGCAGCGGACGTTCTTTCATGCCGCCTTTTTGGTGGTTAACTCCGTTCTTCGGGGTAGGGGCCTGGAGCCTGCACAGGACTTTACCAGGCTCTTCCTGGCGGCACCTTTGCCGCACAAGTAGCCCATCAACCTGACGCTATTTTTATACTTCAACCCAGGCCTTCCAAATTTTGCTTTATTCAGAAATGTACTTAAAATCATATGAGGGATCCTACTTTTGTTAAAGGTCTTTTCCTTAAGGGGCTGTGGAGGCTCTGGGAAGACCAGGGAAGACCAGGGAAGCCATTTCTGAACCCCTCAATAGTAGTGCATGTTAGTCCCTGTATTTATTCAAAGGCGGACACCAACGTGCTCTTGGGTGGGCCGCCGCTTTCCCTCCAGATTAAGCTGCGAGAAGGAGTACACCTCGTGACTTGGTCGGCACGAGGCTTTTCTTCTACTCCCTGCGGTGCTCCCCGGCTAAGCCTAAGTTAAAGACGAGCCCCTCAACCCTAAACCCTTCAAGTCCGCCATGTTGATGAACAGCCTAGGTGGGGACAGTGGAAAGGCCCCGGCCACGCAGCCTACCGACAGCAATGGGTCGATGGTTGGATAGTGCCGGCGCGGCACCGGCACCCGTGATCTATGTGTCTATGGGGACCAAGTACGAATTTACCGAGTCTACGTGCTTGAACTTTGTTGCAGTTCTCCAGGCCCTGATGAGGAGCGGCTTCCACATTCTGTGGTCGCTGCGTGCCGCACAACAAGAGGCCTTTCGACACCTGCTTCCGTCGGCAAGCGACCAACTGATGATTCAGGAGTTCACGCCGCAGCCGGAGGTGCTCGCCCATCCTGCTGTCAAGGTTTTCTTATCTCATTGCGGCTGGGGCGGCGTCACGGACACGTTAGCTGCAGGTGTCCCTGTGTTGGCATACCCTTCCTTCGCCGACCAGCTAGACAATGCCCAACGACTTGTGGAGGTTGGCGCGGCAGTGATGGTTCTTCCGGACTTCTCAAACTTGGTACAGGCAGCAAAGTCAGTGGTCGGAAGTTCAAGTTTCGTCCAGGCGACAAGAGATGCGGCTTCGGACCTGCATAAGTACGGAGGCCTCGAGCGCACCCTTGACCTGGTGGAAGAGGTTTCCGAGGGCCGCTTCCCGGAGATCGGGCCTCATGCGAAGGCAAAGATGGCCCAGATGGGCCCACTTTTTCTGCGAGACCATGGGCCAGAGAAAGCTCTGAGTATTCTGTTTGGGCTTCTGGTGCTCCTGTCCTTGTCATGCTGCTGTGGCATTTCACTGCGATTCTGCTGCCGGTGCTGCTGCACCAGCCCCAGGGGAAGCCCGCGGGACGACAAGAAGAAGGATGAGTAGCGAAACTTGCGGAATGTACAGATAGCAGGTGCGGCTGGCTTCAGTTTCGCATGTCAGTGGTGGTGGTGTGGTAGTCGTACAGTAGTGGCTGGTGGTGGTCGTGGTGGTGGCAGTAGTCGTACTAGTAGTCGTAGTAGTAGTAGTAGTAGTAGTAGTAGTAGTAGTAGTAGTAGTAGTAGTAGTAGTAGTAGTAGCAGCAGCAGCAGCAGCAACGGTGGTGGTGGTTGTAGTGGTAGTACTAGCAGTATAGTAGCAGCAGCAGTAATAGTATTCGCAGCCGTTGTCGTAGTCGTCGTCGTGACAGTGATGGTGGCAGTGGTATTGGGCCGAAGCGGTATGGCAGTAGTGATAGTGGTGATAGTGATGGTAGCAGGCGAAATAGTCGTGGTGGTGGTAGTAGTCGTATTAGCTGCACCTGACGAAGTGCATGATATGTTTTTTTAGTGAGGTTTGGCAAGCCAGCCAGTAGCACTGCTAGGTTCCAGCTTCCGACTTTCTGGCATTACAGTTGTCCAGGTGGAAAAACGTAACTAACTGCCCAAACTTCCATTACCACGACACTGCCGCTTCAACTGTCGCTGCCATTGTCACTGCCACTGCCACTACCGCTGCCACCATCCCTTCTCCTGCCGATTGTTGGCCTGCCGATGGTTGTTGTATTGGTGTTATTCTTCTGCTCATTATTGCTATTATTGTTATTATGATTATTGTTATTATTATTGTTATTATGTATTTTGTTTTAATTGCTATTTTGGCTATTTTGTTATTGTTAATTTGTTATTATTAATTGTTATCATTTGTACTAACAGTGTAGTAGTATTAACAATATTACTGGTTGCATTTTAAGCATTGTTGTGGTGTTGGTTCTTATCATCGCCCATTTTCGTTATTCTAGTGGATATACTAGCTGCTGCTGCTACTACTACTACTACTACTACTACTACTACTACTACTGCTAGTACTACTACTACTACTACTACTACTACTACTACTACTACTACTACTACTACTACTACTACTACTACTACTACTACTACTACTTCTACCACTACCACTACCACTACCACGACCACGACCACGACCACGACCACGACCACGACCACGACCTCGACCTCGACCTCGACCACGACCACGACCACGACCACGACCACGACGACTACTACTCCTGCTCCTGCTCCGCTACTGCTACCACTCGTACTACTACTACTACTACTACTGCTGCTGCTGCTGCTGCTGCTGCTGCTGCTGCTGCTGCTGCTGCTGCTACTGGCTGCTGCTGTTGCTGCTACTGCTGCTGCTGCTGCCGCCACTGCTAATGCAAGTGCTGATGCTACTACTACGACGACAAAGACTACTTCTACTATTCCCACTGCTGCTACTGCTATGGCAGCTGTCACTAGTACTACTGCAACTGCACTAACCCAGCGCTGAGACCGCCCTGCCTCCCATGCACTAACCCAATACATCCCAATACTATCACTACCCCAACCCCTACCACTACCACTCCACTACCACTTCCACTCATCACCACCACCAGCACCACCACCACCACCGCCACCACTGCCACCACTGCCACCACTGCCACAACTGCCACGGCCACTGCCGCGCACACGCATACGCATACAAACGGGGCTCAGGCTTCGTTTTCCTGACAGCGTGCCCGCCGTTACTCTCAGCGAGTGGGTGCTGCCGCTGCGGCCGCACTGCGCTTTGAGAGTTGATTTGCGGGTTGAGGGCTGCACAGGATCAGAGCCTGAGTTCAAAAAGGGATTTTGGCGGCTGGGTTTCAACAGAGTAACACGTCAGCTGTTTGGATTAGTCGTGACACCCAGACCCCCGGGGAGGATCTAGAAAGTAGATCCCCTAATTTGCGGCACTATATGACTAAGGGTACTTTATAGGAACCCCCATTAAGGGATCTACTTTTTGGATCCTCCCGGGGGTCTGGACTACTTGACGCTCTCAGCAGCTCTCTAAGGAAATGTCCCCTTGCCGGCCCCCTCGGGGAGGGGCCCCTGGAGCTCCAGCCGGCGCTTCAGGCCGGGCGTGCAGCTTTGTTTTCAGGGTTTAAGCTTTGGGGTTCAGTTTTCAGGGTTTAGGGTTCAGTTTTCAGGGTTTAGGGTTTAGTTTTCAGGGTTTAGGGTTTAGGATGTCTGGTTTAGGGTTTTGGGCATGGGGACTAGAGTTCTGGGGCTAGGGTTTAGCATTCAAGGTTTTTTGTAGAGGGATGTAGAGAAGGCATAGTTTATGGCATAGTCGAAAGCGTGCAGGGCTTGAGGCTTGTGAAGATGGGAGTTTCCAATTCTAGGGGTACCTTATTTTGGGGTCCATATAATAAGGATCCTACTTCTTGGGGTACTATGTTTGGGTCCCCTATTTCGGAAACTCCCAGATGGTGTTAGGGTGTAGGGTTTCGGCTAAAATAGCAGGATGCTACCTGTCTCGGATTCAAGGTGTTCCGATGCGGGGCTTACCTCTCACTGTTTTAGGGTTTAGGGTCTAGGTTTATAATAGGGTTCAGAGTTTAGAGTTTATTATAAGGTTTAGGGTTTAAACATGAAGCTTGCCCAAGCCCGTCAGCCGCACAGCCCGTAGCCCCGACTACCGAAGCTTTAAGACTCTCCACCTCAGGTTGTGTGCTGCTGACACTCTTAGTCCTGACTGAACCTTACCTACTTAAGACGCCAACCCCTAAAGGTTGGAACCTGTCGCCTGAATCTGTGCCTGCCTTGATCGAGTGTTACCCTTCTGGTCTTTATGGAAAAGTGTGTTCATAGATAATTGTCGCGGGTCTTCCAGTTCAACTGAACTTTCCCGTCTAAACTTAAGCTGGTGTTTGCAGCGCGGAATTTAAGGTTGTGGGTCTAGGGTCTACAGACCCGCCCTACACCTGTCAGTGCTGAATTGACGACATCAGGCCAAGTCGGAGGGTCGGGCAAATTAGTAAGACAGTTAGTTGTTTCATGGGTTTACAAGCATCATAACCCCAATTAGCATCCGTTTTATGGTACTTACAAGTCTACTTGTTACCTACTTGCTAGGCCCCCGACCCTCCAAGTAAAGGCCTGGAAGGCACTCAACCCTTCTTCTTGTTCTGTGCTTCCGAAGATGAGGGATCATAGGTAGCCAGAGGCTGGGTTTCCCATAAATGCGGCTAGAGCCCGTTCCCTTTGCCAAGAAACAGGTGTTTCGTGGACAGGATGCAAACAAGCGCACAAACAACACAAACACATACATGCGGTATATATATATATATATATATATATGTATATGTATATGTATATGTATATGTATATGTATATGTATATGTATATGTATATGTATGTGTATATATACATATATACATATATACACATATGTATGTGTGTATGTATGTCTGTGTAGGTATGTATGTATGTATGCATATATACATATATACATATATACATATACATATATTTATATATATACATATGCCTATATGCATCTATGTGTAAATGTAGGTTATGTATGTATGCATGTATGTATTCATGCAAGTATGTTCAATATTGCCTGCATAATGTACACGTCGTAATGAGAAACTGTTACCTTGCTTTTGTTCCTCCTTGTAGGTACCCGGGAACCTCCTGTCCTTACCCGACCTGTGGCTTCACTTCAGGTGTCTGCCAACTTGGCGCACCGCATCGACTGCCGCGCCAGGTGTGGTGTGCAATTAAGCTGTTTCAGGGGTTTGGACGATATAGGTTTAGGGCCGCGGGCCGTCGAGTGGCATCAGGGCTTAAAAGTCTGTTTCCCCCCTAAACGCCCACCGGATGGGGCAGTTGGGTCCGAACCCTCGACTGCCCCTTAAAGGGTCAACCTGCAAAGTGCTCTGGGTTCTGGAAACAGGGTTGCAGGCCAGGTAGCTACAGGTACTCGCAGCTCCTACCCGAATTCAATCCCTGAGCCACATATGTCTATACACATATAAATAAATGAACAAACAAACAAATATATATATATATATATATATATATATACATCTATTATATAGTACACAATACACATACATACAGAGATAGATATAATCCTACTTCTGTCCCCCTTTCCCCCGAAGCACAGCCAACGAACGATTGCAGAAGAAGGTCCGAGGGCCAGAGCGAGCCGGTGATGATAATGTTGGTAATAAAACTATAGGGGCCTAACTAGTTACCTTGTACTATCTTGTACTATTTTGGGGCTTGCTTATTATAATTACAGTACAGTGGGCCCCGAAACCCTATTCTAATTATTAAGGCTCCTATGTTATATGCAAAATCAGATGTGACAAGGGTTCTGCGGGCTTTTGTGCTGTAAACATGCTAAGGAATCTTATTCCAAGTCATCTAGGCACTGCACTTAAAGCTAGCTCCTTGAAACTTGCAATTCCTTGGGGCCCAGCTCCAAAAGGAAATAAACCTCACAAAGCTTTGAAAATCGAAGTCCAGGAACAAGCTTCCTTCCTCCAGATCTCTGTATCTTCACACGGCTGGATACGCAATGTGAGAGCCATGTTCTCATCATGTTCTTTCAAGCACCGTCGACCTGATCAAAACCTGTACATGCCTTCTGCGCTTTGCAGCAACTGTTCAGGTCCGTAGCAATACTGGAGCACCAGAAAACAAAGTCAACCCTCAAAAGAAGCATGAGGTGGCGTTTCAATTCTTATCCTATCTTCTCGCCTCCACACCTTCGACATCCCGCCTCGGCCCCTCACCCCTTATCCTGGACCCGTTAACTCTAAACAGCTGATGTCCAAGCCGCGAGGCTTCCCCAAACTCTCAACGCCTGCAAGCCGCCCCCAGGCCGAATCACCCTGCCTTGCCTTGCCTAAGAGGTACCAGGGAAGGCTGGGGGCCAGGGGTTTAGGCTTTAGGGCTTAGGGTTTATGGTTTAGGGTTGAGGGGTTGAGGGGTTTAGGGGTTTAGGGTTTAGGGTTGAGGGGTTTAGGGGTTTAGGGTTTAGGGTTTAGGGGTTTAGGGTTTAGGGTTTAGGGTCGGGCTAGGGATATGTTTTGTATTTGTTCAGGTTTAGGGTTTTTGAATTAGATGTCAGGGCGGATCAGTCTTCAGGCGCACCCACCCAAGACCACACGCTTGCACCTCAGGGTTTTGAGGTGTTGTGTATTTCGCCGTGGGAAGGGATTTCGCCGTGTGAGTAGTGTTGGATGCAGTGGGTTTCTTGCGCAAAATGCTCTTTGGCGTCGCTTCGCCCTGCAGAGTCGGAGTGCTACAGTCAGCTCCAAACACGAAGGCATTGCTTTCATGCTCAATCGTCTGGAGTATAGATCTTACACTCGCTTGAGCAACGGTGAAACATCATTTCCCTTTTCTGAAAGGACAGTGATGTGTCCTGGGCCTCAAAGGAAATCACGTTCGAGTTTTTTGCAGGATAACAGTGCTTCTGCCGCGGTCTTTCTTGGGTGCTCCAGTGCTCGGAGGTCCTCATACCATAATCTAAATCCAACACAGTATAATTTTCTAAACCATACCACCGAAGAAGGCGAGGGCCCCACCTAATTCAGCCCACCAGAGACCACATCCACCGCGAGAACCTACGACGTACTACCAAGATAGCCCGCGGCTTGCCAGGCTAAGGTTTGTTCGGCTTCGGTGTTATAAGTGCCGAGCCGCGAACCTCTGTACACCAAGTGAATCCAAGTGATGGGTTTCTACACTGAAGATTTGTCTTGGTAAGATGCGTGGTCAGAGTACACTCCCTTCAAACGCCGAACTCACCCACAGAGGCCCTGAACACCCTTCCTGAAATAGCACTGTGTATCAACATAATAGGGGTTTGTACAACAAAGACCGCTTCAAACTTTCAACACTAGACACATCCTTGAAGCCCTGAGTCTTTAAAGGAGCCCCGACCCTACACCCTACACCCTAAACCCTAAACCCCGAACCTTAAACCCCATATAACACCGGCTTAGGGTTTATCCGCTCCGCATCGACGCACCCAAACTACTCCAACATACTCAACCTGAGGCGTAAAGCCAAAGAGTTCTACAGGTGCTAAGAGCTCAGGTGGGAAAACCGTGTCGCTTGAGGCACTGGAGGAAGAATTCACCGAGAGAGGAAAGCCCCGGCGGCTCAGATTGCGGCTACGCCGCCCCCCGGCCAGACGGGCAGAAAAGGAGGAACCCCGACAACAGAGGCGCGGTCGTGCCGCTCACCCGCTCAGACGGGCGAAAGAATCGAAGAAAAGGGAGAATCGGGATCCGATCCCCTGCGTCCGCTGCTTGCCAGCAGTTCAAGGCAGCAGAAGCAGCCTCGCGTAGCACAGGGGCCGAAGGCTCAAAGCTCACGGCGCAGCCACAGCGGCGCGGGCCGCACTGTGAGCTCCCGGCCCTCCGAAGCAGTGCCCGGGCATAGACGCTGAGAGATTGCTGCAGCTGCTCGCCACGACCCCCACAAACTCCCCAGTGCGAGCGGCAGCCAAGGGAGCGAGGGTTCGGAAAGTGTGGAGGGCGCACCCAAACTCATCTCAGCGCAGCTTAGCAACAATACCCGCAACAAATAGGAACCAGACAACCCTTAGACTTCCGGACTTTAAAAGCCTAAAACAAATAAGCCCGCCGAGCTTGTGCAGGGCCGATCTGATTCCGACCAGTTGTCTTTGGATGTTTTGTTTGTGGTTCGTCGAAATGAATCTTCGCCGATTAAGCGGCGACACGCCGATACGATGCCGGAGATAAGGCTTCCCAGAAGGCGGTTCTCGTGTTCCTGCAAAGCCGTGCTGTCGGAAAGGTCCTGCCGCTGCCGGCGATGGCTGGCAGGAACGACGTGCGCGCATCTGAGATCCCTGCTGGGATACCGGGCAGACTCGGTAACTATGCTGACCAGACTGTAGGGGTACCGTAAAGGCCTAAGGCTTCCAAGCCTAGAGTAGCTTAAACCACTACAACCTAGATCCAAAAATATCGTCCTGCATAGTACGCCTCCTCCCCCTGCAAGCATGGCGGGTGGAGTTTGATGAAGAAGCAGAGTGTGAGAGCTCAGGGTGGAGAGTCCTTGGCGGACCTTCGACACCTCAACTCGTTGGTTCGGGTTCAGGGTGGACGACGTGATTAGCAAGCCTTCTCATGGACAACTCACAACATCTGCAGCGAGTGCTTCTGTGTTCACAGGCCTGCTTGAGTTGGGACGACGGTTTGGCATAGCTGAGTGTCGCCAGCATACCATGTCTACACATGCCTTTGGTGAATGGAGTTCAGTTGAAGCTACATTCTCTTGTACCACTCACCATGCAAAACGACTTTATTCTAATGAGCAACGGGCCACCACTTGCAACAACCTATTCTGTTGCTATTCGGCTGCTATTGCGTGAGACATTGTTAGGTTTCAGACTAGCAAACCGCAAACTCGATATCCTATGCACCCAAAACATGAAAGCCTGAGCCCGAATCCGACGTTCGATTCCCACCCGAAGTCCCTATGGCCCTGAACATACCCTCCTGCACCCCCCCCCTCCCCCCACAACAAAGGGCTGTCCTAAACCCTACCGGGCCCTACCGTCACTCTACACCCTGGTGTTGGGGGGGACAAACTGAAAAACACTCTAGCCCAAGCTGCCATGTCCTCTAAAGGTTCGTTGGCGAGAGCCGGAGGTTGTGGAGCATCAGGCCATGTGTTCAGCGTTGGGGAGCTTGGTCGGGGGTCGACGACGGCGATTCCTTTTGAGTGAGTCTGCCGCGTCGCGCACGGTACCTGAACATTACTTGGGGTCGTTGGGGCTTAGGAAAGCATGATGGACAGTGCTGATCCGCACCATCGGAAAAAGGAAGGCATTCGCAGGAGCATTCGGGCCGTGAAGTCTCCAGACTTCCTTAACATTCTCAATTATCAATCCCAAGTCCCTAAACCAAATCAATAAACCCCGCAACCCCAAGCACCAAAAAATCCCGAAACGCTAGTGACTCCTCATGCAAAGCCGATCATGAACTTCGTGCGTCAATCCCCCAAGCCCTAGACCTTAAACCCCGGCTCAGTGGACCCAGTGCCCGAAGCCATGCCTGCCTTGTGCGAGTGTGCAAGTCGAAACCCCCGGCTGCGTTGTAGATGGGATTGCTATTCAACTGCGGACACAAGCGAGCCTTGCCCAACAAAAAGCCTGAAACCCTAATCCCCAACCCGCGACCCTAAACCTTAAAACTCTCACATCTTGCCAGGAGGAGCCCGGGGACGTTATGCCGGCGCCGGCCTCTTCGTCGCCAAGGGCCTGGCAAGGCTCAGGCTACTACCAGGCCAGGTCGTTCCGCAGTTTGCAGTATTCATGGCTATTGTGCAGGGCTGACGGACTCAGGATTTCGGTGGCAGTTTCGTTTTTGACGTTTGGATCTTCAAAACTTGTTTTTGGGTTCTTGGCTCTGTTCAGGTCTAGGTTGCTTGGGAGTCTCTTTCGTGTTTTCCCAGACGGGTAGTATAGGGGTCGGAATAAACACCAACAGTATTTCTGAGGATTCCGCATTATGACCAGAGTATAGCATACCCAGAGACCCGTTCTAACTGTTAATAGTATTAGTATTAGTATTACTATTAGTATTATTAGTATTAGTATTAATAATAGTATTAGTCTTACTATTGCAATTTTTATGTTTGGGACTCTTTGGGTCTTCAGGCAGGGAATGAAAGCCATCGTGCCCGGAGAGCCCATGCCACGTAGCTATAGGCTTTCCCTTCTGCTACAGAGGCGCCCTTACAGGAGTAGTGATTTTCGGTGCCTGTCGTACGCAAAATTAATTATCATTAACTCCAAACAAGACATCAAGTAACTTAAAGACCACTTAACTTCTGTTGAATGCTGGTTCAGAGTCCGAGTGCGAGCACCGAAATTCCAAACCAAAATCCTAAACCCAAACGAACTCAATGCATCATTCACGTGGGAAGTCAGGAGAGAACTCAAGAAGAAGCTTTGAGCCCCTAAACCCTGCCCCACCTAAACCCTGCAAAAACCTGTGACCTCCTATAATCTCCCTTCTATATAAGCACCCCAAGCAAAGAACCCAAGGAAGCTTAAATACGAATCCCCATGACAAGTCTTATCAAACCTTCATTGAAACGTCGCAACTCCCGGGGGGCCAGGCCCAGGGCGACTGGTGGGCCCCACACAGCTGGGACAGCCAGGGGCCTCGGTGCGGACTTTGCAGTTTCGTTTAGGGTTTAGGGTTTAGGGTTTAGGGTTTTAGAGTTTTAGGGTTTAGTGTAAAACCAATGCCCCTGCTGCAAAGGATGACAGCACAAATCGGAGGCCCCTGCCGCAAGGACGACAGCACAAATCCGAGGCATTCTGGTTCGCGAGAAAAGGCTCCCCCGGCGGGGGTCTTCACTTTGTAGGTCGGGGGCTCTTCGGGGGGCGGTTGTAAGCTTCTGCAGGGTCTAGGCCAGGGTCCCGGTGCTTTTGAGTTTCGTCTTGTCGTTTTACATTGGTAGCGGAGCCCGGGCCGCTTTCCGGGTCTTTCCTGTAGTGTGTCGTTGTTCTCTTGTCTCGTTGTGTTGTCGGTGGGGGCTGCCTTCAGGGCTTCTTTGTCTCTTTGGGGGTTCGTAGTGCCTACGCGCCAATGGCGTTCTCGGGTGCTGGAGCAAGTAATCCTACCTCCTATTACAGCAACGCTCCTGCTACGGATCAGAGTGATCAGACTGCTCGGGCTCAGGATCAAGGTGACGGAAGGGTTTGGGATGATTCTTCTTGGAACCGGGGTGATCAATGGGCTTGGCAGGGATGGTATAGACCATACGGCTACCGCTATCACTGGTCTTGGGGTTCAAAGGCCGAGTGGAGTACAGACGGTGGAGATTTCTCCAGTGGATCACCGGGCGAGGGTGATGATGATCAGGGCTCAGGTGGGCGCCAAGATGAGCATCCATCGCATGAGCTCCGCAGTTCCGAGGGCGAGAATGCGGGTTACAATCGGAGGGCTTCTTGGAATTCTTCCGGGAAGTGGGCTGGAGACTCATCGACAGGGATCTCTAATTCACATGATGATGGGAACCTGGGGTCCGAGGCCACAGCTACGAAGGGCTCTTTCAACGAGAGGATGGCAGTTCCGGGATTCGATGCTCAGAGTTCTGGGGAGGAGCTTGGCATGAGCGCTAGGTCTTATCTTCGCCAGGTGGACGCATGGTGCAAGGTAACGAGGACACCCAAACATCAGCAAGCCCTTCTACTCTATCAGAACCTCTCGGGAAGGGCATGGGTTGAATCAGAGGAATTGAGCGTTGAGGATCTCTCGGGCAACAACGGTGTATCAATCTTTCGAGCTTGGATTCAAGAAAGGTATCAGGAAGTCGAAGTGTCAAAGATTGCGGAAAGCCTTACTGCATTCTTTAAGCGGCTTCGTCGTCAATCTGGGCAAACCATCAGGGAATTCAACTCGGCTTTCGATAGGAGTCACTCCCGACTCCTAGAAATCGACTGCCGCCTCCCAGAGGTGGCAAAGGCATGGGCCTATCTCAACGCGCTTAGCCTGAGCAGTTCAGAGGAATTGGCTTTGCTGGCTTCGGTAGGGAATGAGTACAATGTGACAAAGTTGCAGCGCGCAGCAGTGTTGCATGAAAGGTCCCTACGCCCTCCTTGGCAACCCCGGAAAGGGCCTTATCAGGACATTGGCGGTAAAGGGCAGAAGGGGGTCAAGGCTTCCTATATGACTGGGGTCGATGAGGTTGATGAGGATGAAGAGGTTTACCAGGGGGCAGATGACGAGGTGCTTGCAGAGGAAGAAGCCGTTGCGATGCACGAGGCGTATGTAGCTCAGGAGACCGCAAAAGCCAGATATCGTGAGGTCTCCAAAGCACGGGGTGTGGATCCTAGTGTGCTGCGGAAGGGTGTCAGTGAGAATCCGGGGAAATCCAACATCGAGGAGCGCCTTGCACAGGCGAAGGCACGATCGTTCTGCGCCGGGTGCGGCAGGCGAGGACACTGGCACAAGGACAGCACATGTCCTCTCAACAAACCGGAGAACCAGCAGCTCGGCAACAAGGGGAATGTCCCTAAGTCCGGCGGGGATCAACAGGCCCATGTGACATCCTCCAGCGGTGATGGGAGCGGATCGGTTGTTCAGGTTGCTTACGAGGTCGGGTACCCGAGTGGCAACAAACTGTATGCAATCACGGACACCGCTTGCAGTAAGTCGGTTATGGGTCAAGGATGGCTTGAATCCTACTTGAAACTGGCGAGGAACGCGGGCCTGGAAACCCAGTTTGTGAACGCCTCGGACGATTTCAGGTTTGGTGCTTCGAAACTCTTCCGAGCTACATACACAGCAACCATCTTGATCGAGGTTGGCGGTAAACCGTTTGCGGTCAGGGCTTCGGTGGTCGAGGGTGAGGTTCCGCTCCTTCTCAGTCGGAAGGTCCTGAGTGTTTTGGGCATGGTGTACGATGTCGATGAGAACACGGCACGGTTCAAGCACCTGGGAGTCGACAACATCATGCTTTCGACCACTGACAATGGCCACCCCGCCTTGATCGTGAATCCGAGGGTAGGTCATAATCCCAAGTTGCCGTCACCCCAAGAGTGGGCTGATGATGAGGTGAAGCTACTCCCTCTCGCCAGGAAGCAATACACGGTGCATACATCTCTCATGACCTCGTCTCACGATCTTGAGGTCGAACACCAATATGTTAGCGGAGGTGTAGATAGCAAACTTCCCTCGCGAGGACCGCTGGCGAGTGTGACTCCAAGACTATTTTACCCCAAGAAGATCAACCCGACTATCCGGAATCTCTTGAGTGCCACTGCCCTTAATCATGAAATGTTTGCAGCTTGGGGGAGTCGAACCCCTATTACCAAGGACTTCTGGATTGAGACACCAAGTGCCTTTGTGAGAATCCACGTAGTTCCCAGAAAAGGACTGTTCGACCCGAGCCAATGGAGCACCGATCAGATCCACATCAAGGAGATGCTTCTTGACGCCATCGGGGAGATGAGGTGCACCTCGGCAATTTCATGTGGGAGTTCGCATGCGTTACATCAAGTGCATGACGCATGGAGAGGGGAAACGAGTTCACAACATCCAGTTCTATGGGTCGGCAGGACTGTTTTCTCCCGAGCTTCCTGTAGCACTCCTTTTGAAGATTCCCTCTCGAATCCTGCGGTTGCTGCTCCTGAAGATGGCCTCCTCATCCGAGACAACGGGGAATGTGTGGCACATGACGAAGGCGCAGCTCATCTCGAAGGCGATGGGCATGGGGATCACGATCCACCAATCTTGGAGTGTGGGCGAAATTCGCCAGCTTATCCAGGAGAAGAAGAAGGCCATGGGCGAGATCTCAGAGGTCCCGAAAGGGTTGGCATCAATGAACAAAGCCCAACTCCTAGAGCAGTGCCGGTTGTTGGAAATCGAGGTGCCCGAGAAGGCGACGAATGGCCACTTGACCCTCCTCATCCGGGACTGTTGCACCAGGAACAAAGGGGATGCGGTGGTGAGTTTCGGGCGACACCGCGGCAAGTTGTTCCGGGAAGTACCCCAGAGTTATCTTCGCTGGGCTTTGGCAGAGGTAAAGGAGCGGGGCCCGGAAGGGTCCAGCCCGGACTTAGTGAGCCTGAGCAGGTTCGCGGCGCAAGTCCTCCAGGAGGTTCCCGAGGTGAACAACAAGGATCCGGAAATGAACTCCATGGTGCCAGTGCCGCAGGACGTGGAGTCGGTGGTGAGCTGGGGATCCGAGGGGTGGAGCGAGTTGTCTCCCGAGGCCCGGAAGCTCAACAGCCAGGCGAACTCAAGGCAGGTGTCGATGGCTGCGCCGAAGAGCGCTATGCGGTCCCCATCGGTGAAGCGAACCACGGATCATCAGGGCGAGCCCGGGAAGGCGATGATGAATCAAGATGTGCCTCCAGAGGTGAAAAAGGAGATCGACGAGCTGATGGCGAAGGTGGCATCGCTAAAGGATCGCTACAATCTCTAAGTGGGGACGCCCATGGGGGTGATAGCTCTGAGGATGAAGACCTTCAGAGCGAACCGGATTTCGAGGTTAAGACCCAGGAGATCCATGTCCTCCCCGGGGTACGTGATGTGGAGATTGCGTCAGGGGAAGTCTTCTATGAATGCCGAAACGGCGACTTCAGTACAGATGCTGGAGTCACCAAAGTCTCTAGCGAACATCGTGCGCGAGACCTTCTTCGCAGAAAAGACTTCAGCTTCGAAGCATGTGAAGGGCTCCTCATTGACGTGTGTGAACACTGCCAGGCTAGTAGAAAGCGCAAGATCATGGATGGCACGTGCAGTGTGGCCTTCGGGGCCTACTCCCATGGGAACCACTATGGGGTGATCCGGCGCACGTATCAGCATTGGTACGTGACGAAGTATGTGAATGCCTTCATGCGTTTCCATGGTGCCAAGGGTCAGTGGAGTAGTGTGCAGTTGTGTTTCAATTGTCATGTCGGTCCTCATAAAGACGTTCACAACCTCGGGGACAATTGGACTATTTCCTTTGGGGACTTTGAGGGCGGACGTCTTTGGCTAGAACACAACGACCCAACCAAGGTTCCAGACGCCATTGAGTCCCGCGAGGCGATCCTTGCCGACGGCTCCAAGGCGATCGGATGCTTGGTGGATACAAGACATAACATGTACAAGTTCTGTCCCAAGCGAAAACATGCCGTAGAACAATGGACAGGGAATCGTTGCAGCATCATCGCCTATGTCACTCGTGGGATTGGTGAGCTTAGCAGGCCCGAACGTGATGTTCTCAGGAGCTCCGGTTTCCCTTTGGGCAGAAGTGAAGGTGCATGTGCTTGGGAGAAAGAGCATGAGACGAGGCCGAAGAAGAGCATTAGGAAGAACGTTTGGAAGGGAGCTCGAAGGGCAAGTTCGCTCCTCACTCTCAGTCTCGCAGCGGCATCGTCGTTCATCTCAGAGAATATACCCTTTGGAAAACCACCGCATCAGGCATGCCTCTTCGAGATCGGCGGCAATGAGTTGACGCTGGACATGATCGAGGCGGGTTTTCAGGCCATCGAACCTCTCAGTTGGGGCGACTATGTTGATACTAACCATGCTCTGAAAGTGACTGACGTGATCAACAATCTTAAGCCCAATGTCGTTTGGTTTCAAGGTTGTGATGAGAGCAACAATTTCATTGAGCAGATCGTGGCCACTGCCGGACAGCAGCTAGAACATGGCGGTTCTGTTGTATACCATGCCGACAAGAACGATCATGTCTGGGAGAATAGGATCATGAAATGCTTCATGAATGAGAACGCTCATCTTCTAGAAGACCAAGGTGAAGCGTGGCTTCTTCGTGTAGGGGGAGTACTTCATGATACCGGAGATTCAGGCGGAGAATGCGGCAATCTTGAACATGAGGCGCATGTTGTATCCCACGATGATAAGAAAGATCGACACGAACCCTTAGGTGCATCAGCTATTCACTTCAACAAGAATGTGCCGAAGCATGTCCAGGCCGCATTGACCAGACTACATCAGAACCTAGGGCACCCAAAGATCACTGACCTAGTTCGTCATTTGAGGTTCGCCGGTGCTGACGACGAGGTGATCAAGGCCTGCAAAGGGATGCGATGCGAAGTTTGCGATCGAAACCAGAGGACCGGGAGCGCTAGACCGGGGGTGCTACCTTCACTTCTAGACATGAACCAAGTGGTCAGTGTCGATGTCTTTTCGGTCTTCGACTCGGATCGTGTGCGGCATGAGTTTCTCTCAATCATTGACCACGCCACTACATTTCACTTGGTGTGCGAGCTTGAGGGTCACTCCGGCGAGGATTTCTGTAGGCAGTTCACCCAACTCTGGGGAAACGTTTTCGGGGCTCCTGGGACGATTTCAGCGGACTTAGAGAGCGGGCTCCAGCTTGGAGTTTCCAAGTACGCGGAGTTCCACGGGTGCCGGGTGAGATCCTCAGCTGGACAAGCACACTGGCAACAAGGGGTAATCGAGAGACACGGTTACTGGTACCAGGAGATACTCCAGAGGGTCATTGATGAGAAGTCCATCACGAGTGACGACATGTACATGGCGGTCCAGGCGGTGAACAGCGCTAAGAATGAACTTCGACGTAGACATGGTTTCTCCCCTACACAAGCCGTATTCGGTAAAGACCCCAGAGCACCCGAAGAACTAGAGTCCGGAGTTGACGAGGAGAGATTCATCGAGATCATGTCCGGTGACCAACGTCGACAACGTGAAGTTAGCATCAGAGCCTCGGCACGCATGGCATTCTTCAGAACTCAGATCGACTCGAAATTTCGCAGAGGGATGATCCAGAGAGCGCGTGTCAAGAGAGGCGGTTATGCGGTCGGAGAGCTTGTATGTTTCTATAGGATCGAGAAGATTGCTACAAAACGTGGGCAATGGCGGGGACCGGGCACCATCATTGGCCACGAAGGCGGCAACTGGTGGGTGTCGTTCGGGGGACGTTGTCACTTGGTTGCCGAAGAACACTTGAGGCCGGCTACCTCTGAAGAGCTCGGAGAGCTCTTCTCCACCAGGATTGTGAGGGACGATTTGGAGAAACTCCTCGAGTTGGATCCTGATGACCCCGACACATACCAACCCCCTGATGAAGAGATCCCAGAGTTTGAAGATCCGTTCCAGGAGTTCCCAAACAACGACCTCGAGGACATGGACTACGAGCCCAGTCTCCCCGAGGAAGATGGACAGGACATGGTTGTTGATGACGATGTTCGGGGTGCTAAGCGTGACGGTGACCCTTCTGATGTGCCTCCTGTTGTTTCTAGACGGGTTCGAAGAAAGGGCCAGGGAGTTCGTGTCCATTCAGCCAACATGTTGAAGCGGTGCCAAACGGAGCGAGCCCTCGAAAAGCAGCTCGAAAAGGAGATACCTTGGAAGTTGGTGCCTCCGGAAGAACATGCTGCATTTCGTGCCGCGGAACTAAAACAGATGAAAGAGCACTATGAACATGATGCACTGGAACCTCTTTCGGTCGAAGAATCCGCCGAGGTGAACGATCGTGTACACAGCAGCAGGATCCTCTCTTCGAGATTCGCATATCGAGATAAACATTGGAGTCGTCGGAAGATCGATGCGAGTGTTCCTTGGAAACACAAAGCACGCTTAGTAGTCTCAGGACACAGAGACCCAGACATCCAACACCTTGAGACGGATGCTCCCACCATCGGGCGCCTCACAGTTCTCACTTTGCTGCAGATAGTAGCCAGTCGTCGTTCGAAGTTAGGATGGATGGCATCAGCTGGAGACATCACGGCGGCATTCTTGAACGGAGACCCGTTGGAGAGGGAACTGTATCTTCGTCAGCCTAGAGGTGGTGTGGAAGGTCTTCTACCAGAACAGCTTTTCAGGGTGAAGAAAGGGATATTCGGGCTACCCGACTCGCCTAGGAAGTGGTGGCGGAGATTGAGGCGAGATATGCTGAGCATCAAGATCGATTTCCAAGGACTGACTCTTCGGTTCACACAATGCCCCTTGGATCCATGTCTATTTCAGCTGTGCGATCCCGAATCTGGCAAACCACTCGCTTATGTCGGGGTTCATGTCGATGATCTCTTAACGGTAGGCCCTAGAGACCTTGTGGGCTGTATCAAGAGCTCGCTGTCTGCAGTGTTTCCAGTGGACGACTGGGAAGACGACATGTTTGAGTATATCGGATCTCACGTCAAGGTCAGCGAAGAGGGCGTCTTTGTGGGTCAGGAGTCTTATGCTAGTTCCAGGTTATTCGAAGTTGAAGTACAGAAGGGTCAAGATGAACTGGAACAAGCAACAGAGGCGCAAAGGGTCGACAACCAATCCCTTATTGGTGCCTTGTCTTGGTTGAGTGCACAATCGAGACCAGATCTTCAGTGCAGTGTGTCACTTGCGCAACAACTCCAGAAAACCCCGACGGTTGAGGATATCAAGTTCACCAATAAGATCGCAAAGAGAGCTTGGGAGCACAGGGATAAGGGGATCTGGCTTCGTCCACTTGACTTGTCATCCTTGGAATACTTAGTCTATCACGACTCTGCCTGGGCTAATGCACTGTTGGAAGGGGAAGAGCACTTTATTCTGAGTCCCGAAGATCATGAAAAGGGGACTATGAAGGAAGGCCCCTTCGACAGGAAGGCACGAAAAGCCAAGAAGGAGAATTCCAAGGTTGCTAGCCAAATGGGCATCCTCATTGCCCTCGTTGATGCGAACGGCTTCAAAAGTGGAGGCGGCGAGGCTAGCATCATCGATTGGAAATCTACGGCTAATCCTAGGGTATGCCGATCAACCTTCGCTGCCGAGACCACTGCCTGTTCTGAAGCCGTGGAGATGGGCCAGTATGTCCGCTCATTCGTGGAATCAGTGCTACACGGAAGCCTGAAGAAGATTAACGATGTTGCGGGATCCAAGCTCAGATGCCTGACAGATTGCAAATCCCTCTATGATCATCTTCACCGTGAAGGAGTACCGCGGGTTCCGTCAGACAAACGCCTGGCTATAGACCTAGCTGCTCTTAGACAAACATTCGACCTGGAGCGCGTCCGGGATAGAATTCCTCTTTATTGGGTGCCAACCGAGTTCCAACTTGCCGATATCTTGACTAAGCCGAAAAGTCCGGATGGCTGGTGGGACACAATTTGCAGTTGCATCCGATTACCCTTCGTCAAGAGAGTAGGCGAAACCTCCGAATAGGAGGACAGAACTTTTAACCTGTGTAAAACCAATGCCCCTGCTGCAAAGGATGACAGCACAAATCGGAGGCCCCTGCCGCAAGGACGACAGCACAAATCCGAGGCATTCTGGTTCGCGAGAAAAGGCTCCCCCGGCGGGGGTCTTCACTTTGTAGGTCGGGGGCTCTTCGGGGGGCGGTTGTAAGCTTCTGCAGGGTCTAGGCCAGGGTCCCGGTGCTTTTGAGTTTCGTCTTGTCGTTTTACATTTAGGGTTTAGGGTTTAGGGTTTCAATTTCTGATATGGGGCCTTAATCATGCAATAGGTCTTTTGCATACAATAAGTGTCGCTACACTAAAAGCACCCCAGGGAGCCTTAAGCAATAGTGTATATACTAGATCCGCTCTTGCTTACCAAAAGTGCAAGTCCACCCCCTCATGCCCTAAATCCTTCTGTTGAATTAAGGTACAAGGTTCGAGTCGTGTTGAAGTTCTCTTTTTTGTGGTTGGCAGGAAGCTTCACAAGACGAGAAGCTCTTGGGGCTTAAGGTTTAAGTAGGGAGTTCTGGGTTTGGGGTCTGTGCGTGCAGCAGTTCGGGCTTCGGTATAGTCGTAATGCTCCTGTACTAAAGCCGTGTGCCAGACCCGTCGCAATTTCCTTCACAAGTACAATGTACTAATTGCGGAGGATTGTGAGCTGCAGCTCTCACCGGATGGTTTCACTCTACACCCCCAGGCCTAAACCCTAAGCCCGAAACCAAGCTGTTTCTTTAGGCGGTTAAAGGAGCTCAACAAAAACAACCAAGCTTTCTCTTCAGGCTCAAGACACGGCTGGGGTGACTCGTGGTCAACGTCCTGGCCAGCCGGCTGTAGGGTTCAGGGCCGTGGGTTTAGGCTTAGGGTTTACTTGCAGGGTCGGGGGACTTAGTCAGTACGTAATAAGTAGAGTTATAGGTACCCTACAAGGAATCCTAATTTTGGTTGTGGTACTTATCAGTCTCTAAAAGAACTAGTTACTATGTAAGTCCCAGGACCCTCCAAGTAGGGTTTAGGGCGTAGGGCCTGGGGCGTCAGAGACAGTCTGCCGTTCAGCTCTTCGGAGATCCGAATCGAGTTCTTCGGAATACCTGCCTTCCGTCGCTTCTTTTAGTAGAGGTATCCGTTCATGCGTGCAGGGTTTATGATGGTTGAGTTTTTCTGCACCTGTCACTGTCGGATTTTCACCAATTTCGCTACTCGCTACTGCTATCATGCTAACCGCTAACCATGGCGATTCTCATTATCGCGGCTCTTTCCTATCGCCGCCACTATTGCCGTCATTCGCAATCTTATTTCCATGCTCCTGGCCATCACCAGTGTAGCTGTCTAGATTGTTGTTGGCTCTCGTCTATGAAGGTCTCGTTCTGTTTGGGGTCCCTTTCGAGGGGCCTCTGTGACAAGGATCCTCTACGCCCAGTTGGTGTTCCAAGTCCTTCTGTCTCATTTCTCAACCCTTCATGTTCCTGCAAGATCCCGACTCTTGGATGTAAGGTAGCTTACGAACGGGCCTTTTTCACCTCCAAGCCTCTCCGAATCATGAACCCCAACCTATCGAAGGCCCTAAACCCTAAAGTTTCCCTGATCCCTGAGCCCGGGAAGCTTCCCCAGACCTACCTGAACCCTAAACCCCTAAACCCTAAACTCTAAGCTCTAACTTCCAAACTTGTAAACTCTAAATTCTAAACCTTAAACCCTCTAAAAAAAAAAAACCTTAAACCCTGAAGCCCTAAGCTCGAAGCCCACGAAGAAGCCTGAAAGGCGATGGGACTCAAACGGCTGGTCTTGGGACCGCGACACCAACAAGGCTTTCTAATTGTTAGAATAGGGTTCCTTTTCAGAATAGTAGCTTTCCAATAGTTAGAACTGGGATCTTTTTCAGAATAGTAGCTTTCTAAAAATTAGAATAGTGATCGTTTTCAGAATAGTAGCTCTTTAATGAACAGAATAGGGATCCTTACCAGAATAGTGGCAGTGTGCGTATACGAGATTCCTGGCGTAGATGCTTTTTTTCGATGGCTGCTTCCAATCTGTTGCTCCCATATTGTGCTGCATCTAAGAGTTTTCAGTTCAGTAGCTTCGGAGGGACTGAAGGGGTTGTGTAGCCCAAGGAGCACTATTCGCGATTCATCAGCCCTGTGTATACCAACCATTCGATGGTTTGGGTCTAGCAGTCCAGGGATTGGAGCTTGGGGTGCAGGGTTTAGGATGTACGGTGTAGGATTAAGGGTCCAGGGTCTATCTTTCTATCGCAGTACTTCACTCACAGAGCCTGGAAGCCGGAATTCTGGTGCATCAGCTGTAGACTTTATCATCGCCTCATGCCCGGCGATTGTGGACCCCTGGAGTGTGAGCTGAAGCTACATTGGGATATTCGGGGGCACGAACCTGTCCCAAGACGTTGTTGTAGAGTTCGGGGGGCTATGCAAACTTTTGGAGGCATTATGTTGAGCGCTTCGGGCTGACAGGGTTTTGGGCCTCAGTCGGCGTTGAGGTATGCACGGTAGATGGCTCAGTTTTTCGTCGAAGTTGTTGGCGACGGTACTGGTCGTCCCGGGCAGCAGAAGGAGAGAGGGTAGATTAGCGGCAGCAGCAGCAGTGGCAGTGGAGGAGATCGGAGCAGGAGGGGGGGGAGAAAATCATTAGCAGTGGAAGTGGCAGCAGAAAGAATCATAAATGCTTCTACGGTACTTGCTCGTCCACCCGCCGGCCGCCTTCTCAGACTTTGAGCCAGCCCTTAGCCAGACGACATAGTTCCAACTGCAAGCCCTCATCCACCGACGCCCGAACCCACTCCACGAAGATGCCCAGCCATCCCATCCTAAAGCCTACTTAGAGTCGTACTTTGACGGTGCTGGTGACTCAGAGGTCCACTCTGTTACGCGCCAGTATACGTATTGCTGTTAGTGAGTATCGCTGTGTTGGCTGTCTCCCCGCTGCTACTCACTGGTTGGGTTTAATTTAAGGATATTTAAGGTTTAGGATTTCAGACCCCCCTTTGGAGGATCCAAAAAGTAGATCCCCTTAATGGGGGTTCCTATAAACACTAAACTCCAGGCCCTAGACGGCCTCGGTCGGAAGACCCCAAGCCAACCCGAAGCACCCGAATCCGCGCGTAAGCCGAAACCCACGTCGCAGACCCCTAAGACAAAACCCCAGAGCAAAAAGCACTGACATCCTGAAGCCCTGTGCCCCAGAGCCTGCACCTAAGCCTTAGCAGCATTTAGTGTTGCATAAACTGTAAAATCCTTGGATGCGATAAACCCTTAGTCAAAGAAGATTAAATGATATAGATCCTTGGCTTGAGCCATGCGGCGATTCCCTGCGCTGGCGCAGAGACGGTCGCGGCAGCGATGCTTCTGCAGCTGGGACAGAGTGCCTGGCCGTGTGCAGGTGGACGTCCGAGATTTTGAAAAGGGGGGCGGTCTCGGGTTCTGCAAGGAGTACTTATATAAGGGTTACCTCAAGGGGCCTGCTTTACGGGTTGTATTAAGTTTCTATCTGCTTCTCGTGCTTCAGAGCTTTCCAGGGGTTTAGGGCCTTTAATTATGGGGCTTTGGGGCCGGAGGTATTAGGCTTACCTATAGTCTCCATTGTAGTTCCTTTTTTTGGATATACCAAAAACTTTATAATAGGATCCTAACCATAAAGCTGGTTAACCAAAAAAGGAACTACAAGTGGAGACTGAGACTATAGAGGTATTTATAGGTCCGCAGATTTGAGGTGTCTTGGGCTCAAGGTCGACACGTATCCTCAATTGCCAAAAGTTGAAACTGGTATTGATGCATTTGTTTTTGTCACATAACATGTAGCTCGTTTTCAGGTTCTGACTGAATCCAATTGCATATCCACCCTCACCCTGTAAAGACTAACTTGAAGCCCACCGTAACTTACATTAGCCTACCTGGTTTTAGCAAGGTCCCTCGAGAGTCTATGTTAGGATTCCTATTGGGGCCCTGCCAAATATAGTTGGGAAAAGTACACAGCCCACTGACTATGCCCCCGGATCCTTCAATTTCAGCAAGCCTGAAGCCACAAATCGACAGCCGGAAATTGTTTCAATCCTGCAGCTCGAAACCCACGAAGAGTGATTGCTTCCCAGGGGGTCAGCTAAGCCAAAAGCTCTCGGGCCCTGCGATGTAGGCTACGAAGGTATAATCTTCGCCAGGCAGGAGCCCAGCAATCTAAGCGGCACTTTGCCTCTTCAGTGTTCAGCCGCAAATGATCGACTAGCTTACCTTTGGTTAGTAGGGAATGGAGGAATGGGGTACAATTATAACTACTATTACTACCATTCTTCCATTCCCTACTAACCAAAGGTAAGAGGCAACTTTGCCTCTTCAATGTTCAGCCGGAAGGGATCGACTAGGCCCCCTGAACGTGGCACTTCAAACCCTGAGACGAACCTTGAGCCCTGAACCCTAAACTCAAAAAGGCCCTCAACAAAAATTTTGAGCCCTAAACCCTAATGGAACCCTGAATCCTTGGCAGCCTGAAAAGTCGTGCACCTCAGGGTTTTTATGGTTTTTTTCGGGTCATTGCGCTCGAAGGGGCTTCGGCTTTTCCCAACCCGAGCCATCAACGGCAGTTGATGATATGAATCCTGCATTACTTTAAGAGCCCTCAACTATGGGAATTATGGTACGTTGATTAGTACGGGTAATGCAGGATTTATGCCATCAACCGTGTCAAGCCAGTGAACTCCGTGAGGTGACAGACGTTTCTCCTCGAGACGGCCTGCAGAATGAGCCCGCAGCCGCCCCAGCCGCTACCGGAAACCCTGCATCTTACGACCTCTTTCATGTGCGAACAACATTCCTTGTTAGACTAATTAGTGGGTCTTGCTTGCTGCTATTCTTACGGGGGTACACCTCCTCAAGCTTTGCCCAACCCCAACACCGAGGGTAGCAGAACTGTAGCTGGGCTCTCGGGCTTCGATGGGCCTCGGTTTAGGGTTTTAAAGCCAGCGCCAGAGTACGACACTTTGGC